TATATATATATATATATATATATATATATATACACACACACACACATATATATATATATATATCATATGTAATATATATATATCACATATGTATATACACACAATTATGTATATATATGTATATATATATACACATATGTATTTATATAAATATATATGTATTTATATATACACATATGTATTTATATACATATATATGTATTTATATATATTCATATATATTTATATACATATATATGTATTTATATATATTCATATATATTTATATACATATATATGTATTTATATATATACATATATATTTATCTGTATATATTTATAGATATAAATAAATATATGTATATAAATTAAAACTCTGATGAACCAGATTCTACAAAAACATTACATTTAAATTTTTATAGGTTTTCATCATCATTTGATGTATTTGCACTCATTGTGTCTACTTTTAATGTTCATTTTAAATGTGTGGTGTCCGTCCTTGTTCACATATATACATTTTATTTTTAGCTTTGCTTTAAAGTTCTTGTTTTGTGATTTGTACATTTGTGAGTTAAAATAAAGTTGAACTGAAGGTCGTCTCTTTAAACATATTTGAGGGAAATATTTCTGAGATCCAAAAGTTTTGTGTCTTTTTATGATTTTCAGCTGAGTTAACAGTCATTAAAGTGAAAACAGGATTTCATGATGAAGCTGGCACCGTTTATTTATTAATTTTTTTTATTCTTCAACGCTAAAATATATATATATATATATATATATATATATATATATTATTTTTTTATGACGATCCTCTCCTCCGGAGACAGGACGGGCAGGCTCATCTTCCCAGCTCCGAGCTCAGCTGGTGACTCACAGAGGCTGTTCCAAGGCTCCAGCCGCACGTAATCATGAAGACCCGACCCGCGCAGACAGGCGGACAGAGACGGGTCTGCGACAAACGGTGGAAGCGATTTTAAAAAACATTTACGTGTAAAAAAAATAATAATAATTTTTAAATCGCTTCAGCAATTTTTTAAAACATTTTTTGTATAAAAACAAAATATTTTATTTAAAAATCGCTTCCACCATCCGCCTGACTGCCGGGTGGGATCGGGATTCAGCCTTCATGATTACGCACGGCCGGGGTCTGGCAACGTCCATCTGCGAGTCCCCATCTCCAGCTTTGCTGTGACCAGCAGAGCTCTGAGCACACAAGGATGGTATCCGGAACCCGAGCCTCCGAGTCGGCACATCGAAGGATCTTCCGCGGTGACCAGCTGAACTTGGATCCGGGGAGATGACGCTCTGCCCGGCCTGGCGCTCCGAGGCTCCGGAGGGAGGATCGGGGTACACCAGCAGAGCTCCATCCAGCTTGCTCTAAATTATGTTGTCGGCTACCAAGTACAAAAAATGCCAGCACATCAACATTAGACCAAGATGTTGTCAGTATTGTTTTAAAAATCTTTAAAAATAAGTCCAGCCGCTGCTCCAGTCCAAGAAATTGCAAATGGCAGATTATTGTCATGCGCGTAGCCAGGGGGGGTTCGGGGGGTTCGAACGAACCGCCCACTTTGCCAATGAAGTCCCACCTACAACTTCCGCGAGATATAGAACTGCGAGGTGAAGACGACGTTCACTCTGTCCTGGCTTGGAAGGCAACACGGTGGATTCAAACGGTAAAATTACATTGTGGTTTTTGATTCAACTGTTCGTGTATTTAAAGTAGTACCGTTTGCGGGCTTAGTTTGCATTTATGTTGTTAGAGTTAAGGAGTGGTACTGTGCCTTTAAGAGGATGACGTCTTTCATTCTTCTTCGGTGTTTTTTTTTTTTTTTTGTGTATGTTCGGGCGGGACTCGGGAGTACCGAAGTGTTCGTTCGTGTCTGGGATGAGTTCTGAATAGAAGACTGGAC